GACCTCTATGTTCAGTGATCTGGCTTTTTTGCAGGTGCCTGAGGGACTTGTTTCTGTCATGCAGAACATGGAAGCAGAGGGAATGAGGGCACCCGCTGGATGCACTATGATGGATGCTGAGACAACAGGTGAGCTTTTGTTTACACACTGAAGAGACTACAGAGCTGAGGACAACAGAGGAAGGTATGGGCTCTAAAGAAGTACCTATACTTTTGTAAACTGGGAAACTACAAAAATTCAGACATTACCAATTACTTGTGTTCTCCTGTAAAAACAAGTTCATAAGCCTAAGCCCAGAAGCTGTTTTCTTAAATTCACTAATCTCAACAAAAGGCCACAAGGCCATAAAGAAATAGAAGAACTTGTTTCACTCACAGGAATGAAATAAATCTCCAAAACTGACCTTAAATTAATTAGGAAGTATCAATGACAAAGAAGTCAAGAAGAAATCATCATAAAGATGCTCATGGAGGAAGAAGAGAAAACAGGTAACTAAATGAGAGCAGAAAAACTATGCATGACCAAAACATAAGCCCAAAGAGGCAAAGTATAAGAAACAATTGGGAGCTTAAGTGGAGAATCTCTGAATTTAAAAATATACAAAGGAGTCAGCAACAGACTTGATCAAGCAGAAAAAAGAAGTGGACAATCTAAAGACCTCTTGTTTTAAATTACCTAAGAGGACCAAAGAAAAATGTGGAAAAGGACAAAGTCTAGGGACACACGGGACACCGACAAGTGGAACAATGTGTACATTAATGGGACCCCATAAGGAGAGCAGAGTGAAAGGGGGCAGAGAGTTTCCATGAAGAACTAAAGGCTTGTAGCTCTCTTGTATGTGGAAAGAAGAGACAAATTCACAAGCACGGTAAATTCACAGTAGGATAAGTATCAATGGTGGGAGATGGGTGAGGGACAGGTTGCTTGGTGATGGCTATTAAGGAAAGCAATTGTTATGATGAGCACTGTACGTAAGTGATGAGCCACTGAATTATACTGAAATCAATTTTGCACGGTATGTTATCTAATTAGAATTTAAGTAAAAATAGAAGAAAAAAGACAAGACATGAACACAGTGACACGTTATAATTAACCTACCAAAAATGACCAGTGAAAAGAGAATTTTGAAAAGCATGACAAAGGCAACTCATCTTGTACAAGAGAGCTCCTATCAGATTGTGAGTGGGGTTCTCAGTAGACCTTATAGAAAGAAAAGCATGAAACAATGTATTCAAATACTGAAGGATCAAAAGCTATTCACCAAAAATACCCTACCTGGCACAGCTGTTTTCCATGCATGTAGAAATGAAGACTTTGCCAAGGCAAAACCCCTCTAAGTTTATCAGCAGATCTGTCCTACAAAAATGTTAAAGAATGTCCTTCTAGGGGCACCTGGGTGCCTCGGTTGGTCACGTATCCAACTTTGGTTCAAGTTATGTTCTCACGGTTGGTGAGTCCGTGCCTTGTGTTGTGATCTTGCTGAAGACTTAGTGCCTGGAGGCTACTTCAGATTCTGTCTCTGTCTCTCTCTCAAAATATAAATAAACATTAATTTTTTTTAAAAAGTCCTTGTTGAACTAAAAAGATTCTAAACAGTAACTGAAAAGACATAACATAAAGCTCTCTGAGAAGTATAAATATTTACACAATTATAGAAACCTGTAGTGTTGTAACAAGGTAGGACAAGTCACATTTATTTCTGCTACAGACTTTTTCTTAAATAAAAGCATAAAAATCAAATCTAGGTAATAATATATGCAATATAAAAAAAGAATTTATGATGTCATCAATATAAAGTGGGTACTGGTGCAGAGATGATAAGTAGAAGAGTTTTGTATAAAATTGACACTATCAGCTTAAAACTGTGTTAGGGGCATGAGGGTGGCTCATTCGGTTAAGTGTCCAACTCCTGATTTCAGCTTAGGACACGCTCTCCCAGTTTGGGAATTCAAATCCTGTGTTGAGGGTTGCTTCAGGGGCTCATTTGGTTACGTGCTCAACTTCAGCTCAGGTCATGATCTCGGGGTTCATGAGTTTGAGCCCCGCATTGGGCTCTGTGCTGACAGCAAGAAGCCTGGAGATCCAGATTCTGTGTCTCCCTCCCTCTCTGCCCCTCCCCTGCGTGGGCTTGGTCGGTCGGTCTCTCTTTCTCTCTGTCTCTCTTTCTCTCTTTCTCTCTCTCAGGAATAAATAAACGTTAAAAAAAAAAAAAAGCAAGCCCTGTGTTGAGCTCTACACTAGCAGCATGCATAAAGGTTTGCTATACCTTTAAGATGTTTTAAGTACTCTCTAAGGTAACCAGAATGAAAATACATGCAGCCAATACATTCACCAATAAATACATGATGAAATTAATTCTATTAGCATAACTCACCTAAACAGGATACAACATTCATTTACCACTAATCAAGGAAAGAAATACACAAGATGAGTCACAAGTATGCATAGGTAATACTGCTACAAATACATAGATACTTTTATTAGCAAAGGGCATAAAGCTGACCTTATCTGACTTATCTGACTTATCTGACTCACTCACATTGTCCAAAAACATAATGAGTTGAAAATTGTCACCCTAAAACAAAATACACAGGTAAAAGCAAAATCCCACCTAAATAATGCTGTGGAAAGTTCCATACAAAAGGAAGCACATTACTATGGAATTTCAAAACCAGACAAAATGTAAACCAAAAAATTCTACATAAAAATGATGAAGTATTTAAAACAGGCCCACTATATATACATATATATATATTTTTAACCTTATTTACTTTGAGAGAGAAAAAGGTAAGCACCCATGAAAAAGGAACATTTTGAATTACTGACTTATCTTCATGGGCATTAAAATTGTAAAGAATGTTCCTTAAAATCAACCATGGAAACCTTTAATGAAAACTTCTGTGAACTAAGCACTTAAGACATTAAACAATGTGTTATGTTAATGGATCCCTCCTATCACTCAGATTTAAGGGTATAATCAATTGTTTATTTTTTAATGTTTATGTATCAGAGAGAGAGAGAGAAAGAGAGAGAGAGAGAGAGAGAGGACAAGCCAGGGAGACTCTCAGAGAGATGGAGGGGGACATAGAATCCAAAGCAGGCTCCAGGCTGTGAGCTCTCAGCACAGAGCCAGACACGGGGCTCAAAGTCACAAACCACAAGATCATTACCTATGCTGAAGTTGAAGGCTTAACCAACTGAGCTACCCAGGCTCCCCTATAATCCAATCTTTAGAATCAAACAAATAAACACCTTTCATTTCTTTTTTGTAATTTTTTAGTAAGTTTGAGAGAGAAAGGGAGTGGGGGTAGGGAGAGAGAGAGACAGAAGGGAATTCCAAGCAGGCTCCACACTGGATGCAGAAATGGACTTAGGGCTTAAACTCAAACCATGAAGTCATGACCTGAGCTGAAATCAAGACTTAGATGCTCAACCCTCTGAGTCAACCAAGTGCCCCAAAACCTTTCATTTCTAAATAAACAAGTTTCAAAAAAATTGTAAAATAGGCCAGCAATCACTTTATCAAAGTGATTTGGTATTAAATACATATACATTCTGAGAAAAGTAAAAAAAAAAAAACAAACAATACTTAATTTTTCCTGAAGTGAAATTACATTTATAATTAAAACTCTTTTTCTAAATATAGAAAGTTTACTAATTGTCTCCCTCACTTCTCATAAAGCACATGCCCATGTCATATCAGGACTATTGATATAATAAATCATAAAGGAATCTCATATACAACTACTCAAAATGAAAACATATGACAAAGTCACAGGAACTTCATATTATAAAACACAAAAATCATAACAGGATTCACTTATTAAGAAATAAAGTAACAATTGAGATTTTATTATAGGCCATGAGTTTTAACTAATAATGGCATTAATTTATGTAGAATTATATGAATATAATGGGTGCTTTAAATTATTTCACCATTGAGGAATGCAACACATTGAGTGAAAATTTCTTATTTTACTTAATACAAAGCAAATGAACGTACACTTTAAGTTTATTTATTTTGAGAGAGGGATAAAGAGCAAGTGTGTGAAGGGCAGAGACAGAGAGACACAGAGACAGAGAGAGAGAGAGAGAGAGAGAGAGAGAGAGAGAGAGAGAGAGAAACCGAGCATGATCTGGGCTGTCAGCCAAGAGTCCTAAGTGGGGCTTCAACTCAGAAACCCTGAGATCATGACCTGAGCCAAATGCAATGGACTCTTAACCAACTGAGTCACCCAGGCATCCTGAACTTTCTTTTTTTTTTTTTAATATTTTATTGTTGAGAAACAGAGAACATGTGCCAGATGGACACAGAAGCAAAGGATCCCAAATGGGCTCTTCACTGACAGCAGAGAGCCTGATGCAAGGCTCAAAATCACAAACTAAGATCAGGGCTTGCGCTCAACCCAGACCTTTAACCAACTGAGCCAACCAGGCAAGCCAAGAAATAAACTTTTGAGGTGAAAAAAAGGACGAGATTTTCTCATTTTAGGGAATTGCTTTATTACCTGATGAAATTACTGGGCCTCGATTTTGTATGATTAAAATGAAAACTTCCTTAATCCTGGAAAGGATCAACAAGAAAACTTGTGATGTCTCCCTCTAGCATTCCTGGGATCTCTGCACCTAACCCCAAGATGCACACCACTACCCTCACACACTTCACACAAGAAGCAAAACAGAAGTCAGAAATGGATTAACCTAGACTTCCTAAGAAATGCAGAGATTTCCCCAAGACCTCCAAGCAATGGAGAACCAATAAGGTTCTGGAAGACCTCACTATGGATGTGAAGGACCTTCAGTGAAACTGAAGAACAATCCTTTGAGAATGTAACAGCATGATGTGTTGGAAAGCAGATGCCTGATGTGAAAGGAGAGACCTAATACTGGACTTTCCAACCTAATTTCCATTCAAGGAGAGCTGCTCAACCACATTCTGAGGTCCAGTTCCTCCTTCACGACTGGACCTCACCTCTGTCATCCACTTCAGTTCCACCTACCTGGGTGTGTAGCTACTGTCTCCTTTCTCTTCACATCCCAGACATCCTTCTTTTGTTCCAAAAAGATGACCAGGTCTGGCTTTGACACAACAAGACCTGTTTATTAGAAAAAAAGAATATGAGTGTGGTTGGAGATTCTAACTTCTGATCCACTATTGTGCTTAGTAGAGCAGAGAGGACAGAGTAGAAGCTTGAAAATGATTTCCCAAATGCTGTGGGCCAACATCCCCTTTAGAACACGCAGGATGAATTTTCCATGTTCAGATCTTGACCTCCACTTCCGAGTACTACCATGACAATAATGAGTAGAAATCGGTATTTAAGACAAAAGAGATACCATTTTATGCCACTTAGCCTTTAGAAATGTCATTAATGTATAGAAATGATGATGTTACCCTAAGGAAGGAAAGGTAAAGCTGAAAAGGAAACACCATGAGGATTTTTCTGTACATCCACAAACCCATACTTCTTTCCCTGACTGCAGGGATCTGAATCCCAGTCATGCAAAGAGGAAGATTCCAAGAGACAGTCTTCAAGGGAAGGAACAAATCCCTGAGTATGTTTGGGCAATGTGGAAGGAGTTATCCTCACCCAAGAAAAGGAGGTGTCCGTAGTTCTCTAACATCACATCCCTGTACAGTTCCCACTGACTGTGGTTCAGGCACCCCAACTCTTTCCGAGAAAATTCTATGGCCACATCCCTGAATGTCAGCAATCCCTGCAATAAAAAACACAGTTATCACGTGGCCACAGGCAGAGTTCATAATGCTAGGTCAAATGAAAGAGGCAGTTAATGTCACCAGCCGGACTCCAAGACCTGACTTTAATGCTTGTGCTTGTACCCACCGATCTTAGTTCCACACTGTACTTAACCTCTTTTTCTATCTTATCTTTTACTTCACAAAAAACTCCCCAGGGGTATAGTCTCCTGTAGTGGAAACAGAAACCATCTAACAAAAGGTAATGACTGCCCTGAGGAAGAGCTTGGATGAGAACAGTTGGAGATTAACCCCTGACTCACACCTAAGCAAATGCATAATAGATTAAACTACGGAGTGAGTACAGTTCCCTTCATCTCATTCAAACATTTTATTTTAAATCTTATATCTTTGAGGGAGATAGAGCGTGCACAAGTGGAGGGGGGGCAGAGAGAGACAGAATCCCAACCAGGGTCCATGCTCAGAGTGGAGCCTGATCTCAGG